TTTCCTCACTCCTCCCTGTTATGGGTCATGGGCTGAGGAGGGAGAGATGGGTTGAGGTGGTTAACTAAAGACTGCGGCGCTGGTGTCATCGTGGAGGCTTTGGCTTCCATGATCACAGTCTGCTCTTTGGTGAGAGAGGCAGTGGTCTGTTGGGGAGAGACGCCCTCCACCTCACTGCGCTGGGGAGGAGGCTCTTCTCAGCCAGACTGGCTGACCTGCTTGACCGGGCTTTAAACTAAGCTCACCAGGGGATGGGGGGGATTACTGCCACTGCTAGGCCATTGGACAACCCTTGTAAATCCAGCAGGCCAAGGCACTTAAGGGACCCACCACCCCTACCCTACCCCCAGAACAATCTGTAGGGAAGGCAAGGGCCCCCAAAGGGACAATTGCCAGCCTGTACACCAATGCCAGGAGCCTGGGGAATAAACAAGAAGGACTGGTCCTCCTGCTAAACAAGAATGACTACGACGTCATAGGGATAAATGAGACCTGGTGGGACTCCACCTATGACTGGGCCACAGGTATAAATGGCTATACCCTGTACAGGAGAGATCGTATAGACAAAAGGGGTGGGGGTGTAGCTCTCTATGTCAAGGAAAGCTACACGTCTCTGCAAATTGACACTGGCACCCAGGAAGGACGACTGGAGTCTCTCTGGGTCAAAATATGTGGGAAACGTGGCACAGGGAACATCATGGTAGGAGTCTACTACAGACCTCCCACCCAGAAACCAGAGCTGGACCAGGAATTTGCCAGGGAACTGGCTGAGGCTGTATGCTCTCGGTTGTCACGGGAAACTTCAGTTACCCAGACATCTCATGGGAAAAGCACTCGGCCAAATCCGATCGGTCACAAAGCTTCCTCACATGCGTGGACGAGCTCTACCTGACTCAAGAAGTCTATGGTCCGACGACAGGTAAAGTGTGGTTGGACCTGGTACTGGCCAAAGGGGATGACCTAGTCGGTGACCTAAGAATCGATGGAAAGCTGGGTGATAGCGACCACGAGCTGATCACCTTTACTATCCATTGCAAAGCTGGCAAGTCAGTCAGCAATACTGAAGTCCTCGCCTTCAGGAAGCTGACTTTGACAAGCTCAGGAGGCTCGCTGTTGAGGCCCTAAGGGACCACGACTCGACATGAAGAGGAGTCCAAGAGGAATGGCTGCTCCTCAAGGGAGTGAGCCTGACAACACAAGGGATGGCCATCCCATCTCAGAGGAAGGGTAGGAAAAGGGCACAGCAACCCCCTTGGCTCAGCAGGGAACCTGAAGACCTCCTATGCCTCAAAATAGAGACTTATAAAGGATGGAAGGCTGGAATTACCACCAAGGAGAAGTACTCAGCACTGGCCCATACCTGCAGAGAGCGGATTAGCAAAATCAAGGCTGCAACCAAGCTTCATCTGGCTTCACATATCAAGGATAACAAAAAGTCCTTTTTCAGATACGTAGGGAACTGGAAAAAAAGCAAGGGTAACATTGGACCCCTGCTGAACCAAACGGGACAGCTGATAACTGACACCCAGGAAAAGGCCAATCGTCTTAATGGGTGCTTCGTGTCAGTCTTTCATCAGTCCAATGGGACCACCCTGCCTCGCAAGACGTGAGACGGCCAGGGTGAGGGCATATTTATACCCAGCATCGGTGTTGATCTAGTAAAGGATCACCTTGAGAGGCTGGACACCTTTGAGTCAGCTGGTCCTGACAGATTACATCCTAAAGTACTCAAGGAGCTGGCAGGTGTCATAGCCCAACCATTGGCAAAAATATTCAAAAACTCGTGGTGCTCAGGTGAAGTACCCGAAGACTGGAAGAAGGCCAATGTGGCCTTCAAGAAAGGGCGGAAAAGAGATCCCGGGAATTACAGGCCATTCAGCTTGACCTCAATCCCCACTAAGATTCTGGAGAAAATTATCAAGGAGACCCTTCTGGATAAGCTGGCTGAGGGCAACATCTTGAGGGATAGCTAGCATGGGTTTGTAGCGGGTAGGTCTTGCCTGACCAATCTCATCTCCTTCTATGACCAAGTGACATATCACCTGGACAAGGGAGAAGAGACTGACGTCATATATCTGGACTTTAAAAAAGCCTTTGATCTGGTGTCCCATGACCTTCTCATGGAAAAATTGGCTAACTCTGGCCTCAGCTACACCACAATCCGATGGCTGAGATATTGGCTCCAAGGTCAGGAGTAGTGGTCGATGGTAGTGAATCATTATGGAGCTCGATGACCAATGGCGTCCCCCAAGGCTCTGTCCTTGGACTAGTTCTCTTCAACATATTTATCAATGATGTGGACACTGGTGTCAGAAGCGCACTGGCCAAGTTTGCTGATGACATTAAACTTTGGGGCACAGCATCCACACCTGAGGACAGGCTAGTGATCCAGGCTGACATGAATAAGCTTAGTAAGTGGGCAGACACAAACCTGATGACGTTCAATACCAATAAAAGCAAGGTACTCCACCTTGGGGGAAAAAAACCCACAGCATACTTATAGGCTCAGAAGTGCTACACTTGCTATCACGCTTGCTGAAGGAGACTTGGGGGTCATGACTGACCACAACATGAATACAAGCCACCAATGCGATCTTGCAGCTGGTAAAGCAAACAAAAACCTGGCTTGCATCTATAGATGTTTCTCAAGTAAATCTCAGGATGTCATCCTCCCGTTGTACTTGGCCTTGGTGAGGCTGCAGCTGGAGTACTGCATCCAGTTCTGGGATGCCAATTCAAGAAGGATGCCAAGAAGCTTGAGAGAGTCCAGAGGAGAGCCACGTGCATGATCAGAGGGCAAGAGAACAGGCCTTATGAAGAGAGGCTGAGAGCCATGAGACTCTTCAGTTTGGAAAAGCACAGGTTCAGCGGGGACCTGGTGGCTGCCTACAAGTACACAAGGGGTGTTCATCAGGATCTGGGAGAAAGTCCGTTCGCCAGAGCGCCCCAAGGAAAAACAAGGACCAATGATCATAAACTCCTACAAGACCATTTTAGGCTGGACATAAGAAAAAATTTCCTCACTGTCTGAGCCCCCAGGACCTGGAATAGACTCCCTCCAGATGTGGTGCAGGCACTTACTTTGGGCTCATTGAAGAAACTGGATGGATCTGGAGGGACTGGAAGTATTTAAATCAGCTGGGCCAGACGAGATCTCCACCCCAGAGTGCTGAGGGAATTAGCTGAGGTCATTGCGGGACCCCTGGCATGGCTTTACAAGCACTTGTGGTGCTCTGGTGTGGTGCCAGAGGACTGGAAGAGGGCCATTGTGGTTCCTATCTTCAAAAAAGGGAGGAAGGAGGACCCAGGAAACTATAGGCCAGTTAGTCTCACCTCAATCCTGGGTAAGCTTTTTGAGAGAATTATCCTGGCACATGTCCACAAGGGGCCAGCGGGGGAGGTTATGCTTAGGGGCAACCAACACGGGTTCATTAGAGGCAGGTCCTGTCAGACCAACCTGGTGGCCTTCTACAACCAGGTCACCAAATCCTTAGATGCAGGGGTAGCAGTGGATGTAGTCTTTCACCCCATTCTCATTAAAAAAACTGGGGGACTGTGGTATCAACACCTACACAACCAAATGGGTCGCTAACTGGCTGGAGGGCCGCACCCAGAGAGTGGTAGAAGATGGGTCATTTTCGACTTGGAGGAATGTGGGCAGTGGGGTCCCCCAGGGCTCGATCCTCGAGCCCGCACTGTTCAACATCTTCATCAGTGACTTGGACGAGGGGGTAAAAAGCACCCTGTTCAAATTTGCTGATGACACTAAGATGTGGGGGGATGTGGGCATGCTAGAAGGGAGGAATA